GAAAATAAATAAATAAATAAAATTATTATTTTGATTTATTTACCAAAAGATATCATAATAAACAAGAGGTATTAGTTTGATTTATATCTATACTCTAATTTAATTATACATAATAGGTAAATAAAAATAAATAATAATATATAAAAATTATTTTTATATATAATTTTCATTTCTCGCAATTCTTAACATAATTCAATTGTATTGAATATGCGAAATATGGAGAGTCCATGTAACTATTTTCAGATATTTAATTCAAAAATTCTCTAGTAGTGAGTATCCTTTATATATTAATTGAGAAACATTTGAAAAGATCTAATCTTAAGTTTGTATTAATTAAAAATAACTTCATCCTACGTGGCAGATCTCCATGTCTTCTAATTCAATTTAGAAGGATTCTAGAACACCTTGTATAAACTATAGTTTAGAAATTATACTCTCTAGCAATATAATATTTCGCAGACTATAATTGATCGCATATATCAAATATTTATTGTTCCGCAGAATTTCCTCAAATAAAACCTACGGAATTACCTCATGTGATTAAAATATATATATGGCAATTAATAATTTTTTTTTTAAAAAAGAATGTTAAATTAATTCAACCAAAAAAATATTTTACATCCAGAGTTGCTTGTTTAAGACTCAAAAGAGAGCAGACAAACGAGCTTTACATTTGAGAATTGGAATTAGTGAAAAGAGAACCATGTTGCCATGGCTCCTTGTTAAGCAGAGTTGTGACGATGGTTCATGCTGGTAATGCGGTTTCGAACCTGCTTATCAATAATTTTTATGAGGCCTGAAGCAGGTTTGTGATCTTCACCATACCTTCTCCCATTGCGTTCGGTCCACATAGCATATAAGGCTGCTTGGAACACATACCGAAACAAAAACAGCTCCAGTTTGCTTCGCTTTTTAGTGAGAAGAGTAATGATGTCATCCCATACATTAGAGTAATCTGTTGTCAAGAGCTTCTTTGTGAGATTCAACCACACCTCCCCCGTATAATGACACTGAAAAAACAGATGGTTTCTAGATTCAAGACAAGTTTTGCAGAGAGAGCACGCCACCGTAGTGCCTCCATTCCATAGAGATAGCCGATCACCCGTGGGCAGCCTGTCTTGAATGGCAACCCATGTATGAAAAGAAAACTCAGGGGTATTGAACTGAAACCACACTCCTTTGAACCAATCAACTTGCATCTGTAAGCCTCGCAAGATCTTCCAAGTTTCTTTTGTAGTAAACCTCGGTTTATAATCATCACCACACTTCCATAATCTGACATCATCCTCATACTGTAACCCTCTGTTTCTGAGCTTTTGTATCTCATATTCAATGAGGTTATAGATCTCAACTCGGTGCCGTCTACCCATGTGCTTATGGAAAACCGTGGCTACTGTATCATGGAGACGAATGTCCATATTCATAGGGCCACCAGTTCCTGTTTTGGTCATCAGACAGCCTAGTTCTGACCAGTCATCGAACCAGAAAGACGTTGACATGCCATTATGGAGTGTCACTTTTGAAAACCCTGCCGCAACTTCTCTGCATTTTAACTTCTTCCACATCCAAGATCCAAGTGAGCTACTGTCCTTTACTGTCTAGAAAGATCCCTTGTGAATCCAGTAACGGTTCACCCATTTAACCCATAGTAAGGTTTTAGATGAAAGGATACACCACACCAGTTTCAGAACAGAGATCTGATTAGCTTCCTCAAGAGAACGCAGGCCAAGACATCCCTCTACTTTTGCCTACAACAATCCTTCCAGCTGAATTTAGCTTTTTTTTTTGTATTTAGTTCAGGGCCACCCGACCATAGAAAGTCTGCACAAAGGCTGTCAATCTCCTGTATACACCTTCATAGCAGTTTAAAAGCAGATATCCAGAAGTTAGTGATATAAGAGATCATTTAAATTAATTATATATCATATACGATAGATAAGATTGATTGTTTTTATTTATTACCCTAATTGCGAATAAACAAGAGTGATCGTTAGATTTATATGTACACACCAATTTATTACATAATAGTAACTGATTCTTAGTTATTTAATATATAGAATTATTATTTTATTATTTCATAATATGCAGAAAAAAACATAAAATAAATAATAAATATAAAATACTTATTTTGCAAAAAGTCCAAATCTTAACTCAAGTATATATCTCTTTAATTATTTCAAATCTTAAGCATTATCTAAATGTGAGGCCAAAAAAACAAACGAAATGAGAATAGACTTCAAAATCAATATTTGTATCGAGCAATAACCAAAATGAAAAAGACACAAAAAGAAAAAAAAATATTGAAGATAGATAGAATTGACATGTGAACGTAAACTTCTTATAACTATAATTAATTGTTAAATTGCTAAATCAGGATATAAAACCGAGCTGACATAGTTTCATTGTAACCAAATAGACCCCAGATTTTTTAACTTAAACGTTAGGTTCTTTGCGGTAAGTGATATTTTGACCTAAAATATTTTTGAAAATGAGATCAGTCCATCAGTAAAGAAATCATGTAATTAACAAAAAAAATTTGTTTAAAAATCAAAATATTAATTCAATTAAGAATATATATTTATTTTTCCATATAATATTTTTAAGTAATTTTATATAAATTTATCATGCGGCTTGGACAGGTCTTATTCTAATGCGTAATATGGAGAGTTCATGTAACTATTTTCAGATATTTAATTCAAAAATTTTCAAGAATAGTTTGTAACTGAAGCTTCTAATCTATTAAAATAGAGACATTCTTTTTATCTACTGATACAAGTTGTCATTTAAACAGACCCTTTCTAGAGTGCTACAAATAATATAAGTCTTATAATTGATTGAACCGAATTACTTAAATTAAACCAACACAATTAATGTAACATGGCGACCTTAGTGTAAAGTATCTTCAAAATACGGCAGATATCTATGTGTCTACCAAAAACACATATTTTCTCCTACAAATATGGAATGTTCTAAAAGAATATATATTATCAAAATATGGAATATGGAAATCTACTAATTATATTAATGTGGAAATCGTAATATACCATTTAGCATCTTAACAATTCCTTAAAAAAATGGAAATTTAATAATTATATGAAACCAATGGAAATCTACTCTATTAAAATAAAGTCTTTCTTTTTATCTATTAATACAAATCTTATATATTAAAACAGAAGTCACAACCTAGAATCATGTGTGATTTTTTTAAAAATGGACTATTCTTTAAGAAGATTATGAAGATTATCAAATGTTACATAATTTAATGATAATATCTTTAAATATCTTTATTTTTCTATTTGAAATAGAAATGAAATAAATCCAACAAAATCTTTTTGACATCTTTTTAAATTGTATTTCCATAATATTATCCCATATATTTATCTTTTATTCGAAATACAAATGTTTTTTTTTAAGATATTAAAATTTATCTAGATATCATTATATATTCCTAAATCCTAAATAAAATACTATATATTAGAGTTTAACCCACACAATTTTTTTCTTTTATAAATATAACACTTTGATAGTATTATAAAAAATTAAATATATGATTTACATTTAATGTTATATATTATATAACTCTATAATTTAGTTGTTTAAGTTTTTTATTCTTCATTATTAATATATAGTAATTTGTTTTATATATTTTAATTTATATTCTTATTCATTGTTATTACTAAATAATATATTTTTGAGTTTGATACATAAATTATAATTTAAAATAATTAAATTATAATCGTCTTTAATATAGAGTTTTAATTTCTGGAATTTGCATACAATAAATTTTAAAATTTATTTAGATACACTATAGATAAATATTTGTTACTGATAATTTATATTGTTTTGTTGTGTTTAAAAATGATACTTTAACATCTATTATTTTAGTATTTTACATGATTTTATAAGTAAATATATTATTATTTATTGATAATTTTTTTTTATAAATTATAAATAAAAAGAAAACCCGCACGGTTGTGCGGGTAGAGATCTAGTTGTCATTTAAATTTGGACTCTTTCTAGAGTGTTGTAACAAGCCATATAGTTAATTGAACCGCATTACTTAAATTAAACCGATGATTATTTCTGGGATATAGTCTTGGGTTTACTTTTTTTTTTAGGACAAATTATATGGTTTGATTTTTAGGCTTACTATTAAGGAAAAACTCCAAAAAACATTGAATAAAATTTCTATCTTAATGGATCAAAAAATCAATTATTATTTTCAGGCCCAAATGTATTTAATATTTTTAACAAAGCAAAATTGTCTATTATTAATCATTTATTTAAATCATGTACTTTAAAACATGTTATTGTATTTTTTATTTTAAATAACAATCACTTTTTTGATAAATTCCAATGGTAACTTTTAGATAATTTATTGTTTTATTTTTCTTAAATAATTTACTGATTTAAAAAAACGTAAAGCAAAAGCAAAAACCAATTCTAAAAACTAAATCCCAAAACCAAAATCTGAAAATGCATTGTTCTGGATAACATATTGTTATAGTTTTTGCTTTTGTTTATTTACAAAATAAACTATTGCATTTTTTTAAAAAAAATTTGTCATCAGTTTTAAATTAGATGTTCAATTATTTGAAATTTGTTTGTTGGTAATATCAGTTCAAACTAGCCCAGCGGATCTAAAAATTAAAAACCCAAACAAAAGCTAAAAATCAAAAATAGAAACTTAAAAACTAAAAACCAAAATCTAAAAATAGAAACTGAAACTAAAAACTAATGAAAAAATCGTCACCACAAATTTTGATAAACTGATTTTATACTAAAACATTCTTTAAATTAATATATAACCCAATTATATAAATTTTAGTTATAAAAAACTTTCGCGCTTTCAAGCACGGATCAAAATCTAGTTTTGATTAAAGTAGGGTAAGACAAAATATCTTACAAAAGAATGTCGTTTCCGTAATTAGCAGACTTTCCTCATATATAATATAAATTAAAAAAAAAAAATCCCCAAGGCTTGTTCATCAACACAACGTATTGCTTCCTCTTCCTCTTCCTCTTTTCTAAACAAATTCCCCGTATGGGTCTCACCACTTCCTCTCTTATATATTCTTGAGATAACTATGAAGAAGCCATCTCAAGTCAGATCCAATCATACCCTTTTCTTCTTTCTCTGATCAAACAAACACAACCAAACGACGATCCAGCTTCTGTAATAGCAAGGGTATGTCCAATTCTTCTATCTTTAGTTAATTTTAGTTTTTTTAAAAAAAATTCGATAAATGAGTTTGAACTATGATTACGCCGAAAGTTTGCTACTTTCTTTTTCCCTGGGGAGTAGTAAGATTGATAGCTAAGTAAAGCAAAGGATAAAAAAGATTGAATCTTTTCACTTTTTTTTTTCCAACAAGGAATAACGTAAAGAAGAAAAAAGCTTCAATGATTCGTTAACTCTCTATAAACCCTTTTTTGAGTTCTTAGCAGAAGAAGAGCAATGGCGATGTTAGTTGACCCACCAAACGGGATAAAACAACAAGGGAAACATTACTACTCCATGTGGCAAACTCTGTTCGAAATCGACACTAAGTATGTTCCCATCAAACCCATTGGACGAGGAGCTTACGGTGTGGTCTGTTCTTCGGTTAATCGTGAGACCAACGAGAGAGTCGCTATCAAAAAGATTCACAATGTGTTTGAGAATCGAGTTGATGCTTTGAGGACGTTGAGAGAACTCAAACTTCTTAGGCATGTGAGGCATGAGAATGTGATCGCGCTTAAAGATGTTATGTTGCCCTCTGTTAGATCAAGTTTCAAAGATGTTTATTTGGTCTATGAGCTCATGGATACTGATCTTCATCAGATCATCAAATCCTCTCAGTCTCTTTCTGATGATCACTGCAAGTACTTCTTGTTTCAGGTAATGCTAATGTTCATGTAACTATTTTATCGAATCAACAAGTACATTGATATTGGCCCCCAAATTTTCTTGACATTTTTTATATAGGTTTAGGCTCATAAAAAAAAAAAAATATATATATATATATATATATATAAAAAAAAATATTACAAAAGTTTTTAAATAATGCGTATGGCCCCAAATTTTCAGATCCGTCCCTGGTCATTGTTTCAGTTACTGACATAGTTTGTGTGTGTTTTATGTTATGTCTTTGTTCAGCTGTTAAGAGGGTTGAAGTATCTTCACTCTGCAAACATCCTGCACCGAGACTTGAAGCCAGGGAACCTCTTGGTGAACGCTAACTGCGACCTAAAGATTTGTGACTTTGGGTTAGCAAGAACTAGCCAAGGCAATGAGCAGTTCATGACAGAGTATGTTGTCACACGTTGGTACAGAGCACCTGAGCTACTTCTCTGTTGTGACAACTACGGAACCTCCATTGATATCTGGTCAGTTGGATGCATATTCGCGGAGATTCTTGGTCGGAAACCGATTTTCCAGGGGACTGAATGTCTCAACCAGCTTAAGCTGATCATCAATGTTGTTGGTAGCCAGCAAGAATCTGATATTCGATTTATCGATAACCCGAAAGCTCGAAGGTTCATCAAGTCTCTTCCTTTCTCGAGGGGTACACATCTCTCTAATCTTTACCCACAAGCAAATCCTTTAGCTATAGATTTGCTGCAGAGGATGCTTGTGTTTGATCCAACCAAGAGAATCTCTGTAACGGATGCACTCTTGCACCCGTACATGGCGGGTCTGTTTGATCCTGGATCTAATCCACCTGCTCGTGTCCCTATCGCTCTGGACATAGATGAGAACATGGAGGAACGAATGATCAGGGAGATGATGTGGGATGAGATGCTTTACTACCACCCTGAAGCTGAAACTGCAAATGTGTAGTTGTCATTCGTAAGCTTGTTCCAGTTTTTTTTTTTGGTTTCTTCTTCTAAAATGCCAGCTTTGTTGTTATGTTATATAGCGAGTTCCACAAACGATGGAGTGAGTGAGTAGTAATAGAGTTTGAAGAGCTGATCAGTATCTGTTTTCACTTTGTAAACGTGAACTGCGTCAGACTGCTTGTTTACTAAGTTAAGGCTTGTTCTTCTTCATCGTCTTTAAGGTGTGAGTTTAGTTCAGATTTTCAGACCAATTCAACATTTGTCCCTAACAGCCACACTAAAATAATAGTTACAAGTATTCGTTCAGCTGTTCTTTTCTCTAAGATTCAAGGAAGGAGCTTTCTTTCACATTATGTGGAATGTAATAAAGCTGCACATGTTTTAGCTTAAGAAAGGACTGTGTATTTTTCTTCTAGAGCTTTACACTCTTAGATACTTTGGGCTACTAAACAAGTTCTCCACTCCATCAAAGACCCTGTTGACTTACATTATTTTCCTGGGATAGAAACAACACGTACAACTGCTGGTTTACATCTGATGCAGCGGAAGTATATAGTTGATGCTAAACAAGAACAACATGCTCGATGCTAAACCACTCACCACCAAAACTCACTCTCTCAAGTGGCACTCCCTTGTCAAACCCATCAACTTATTGATCTGTGGTTGGAAGCTTTCAGTACTTGGCCTTTACCCGACCAGATATCTCCTACGCTGTCAACATGTTATCACAATTTATGCACCGACCCACTGACTGTTGGATCATTAAAACCCAAAGGGTTTTAATAACATATGAAAACAAATGGCTCTTGGACTTGTCTACTAAATGAACCCAAGAATTAAGTGAATGAAGAGGGGAATTTGTCCCACATCGGTGAAAACAAGTGAGGGGGAGCTGTATATATATGTCATCACATATACCTTGGTTCAAAGGGCTCAGAGGTAGAGAGAGCTCCCCACGCGCGCGCCGCCGCCTTCCGGCCGGCTCGGCGTGGATTTGGGCTTGGGCTTGGGATTTATTGGAGGGCCTTTGGCCCGATAAGAAGTTATCTTTTTGGACCAAATTAAGCCCAACGCTTTGCCATTTTTAAATTTAAAAACAGCATGACGTGTGTAAATAAACAACACGTAGTTTGTGTAAAAACAACACGAAGTCTATCTGTTTGCAAAACAATTTGAACGAGTCAAATAAAAGAGAAGATCTTGCGGAGAAAGTTTCTGAACTTCCACTCCCGAGATCTCAGCGAGATTCTCGCCCACGTGCAACAGTTGTTGCAGGAAGTGGGTCTTCTCCGTCTCTTTAAATATTGCCTCTCCTCCTTCTTCATTCTTAATTTTTTCACGCAAGTAATCCAACAAAAAACTCCCAAAGTAAGTCTAGAGAGTGTTTCGTAATTTTTTAGTTCGTTAGGTCGTTTCACGAGTGAAGCGTGATTCGTCTGCCATGGTTGTATCCTGGGACTCGATATTCGTACAGTTTCGTCTCACTACGGAGCGAATATTAAGAGTTAAGGAAAGAGATTTATCTCGCCTCCATCTCTTGTATCCATGTCTATTTCCTTAACTCCGTCTTTCTTATATCGTCTATGTCGATCCGGTTTTCCGGCTTCTACAATCTTAACTCTTAATCGCTTTCTGTCTAATGCTTTAATCGGGTTGAAAAACGATGTATAGAAACGGGTTCTGGAATCGTGTTTGCGATTTGCTCTATAGCACTTCCGCGAAACGTTTAACATTTATTATCTGTATACTATACGTGTTTGCGATTTGGTCTATAGCACTTCCGCGAAACGGTCTTCGAAACGCTGTTTGCGATTTGGTTTTTATCATTTCCGCGAAACGTTTCTTACTTATCTCAAAACGATTTGCGGTTTGCTTATAGCATCATCCGCGAAACGTTTTAGATACTTGTTTCTTTCAAAACGTTTATATATGAATCGTTTTCACAGATGCTTTCTTAAGTGAATTTGTGAAATATTCTAAGTCTTCACTAAACGGTTTCTGCGAATGCTTATAGCGAGTTTGCAAAACGTTTTTCCAGACTTGTATCGATATGATTTGGTTCAAACACCAAAAATGAAAATCGATTCTAAACGATTATTTTATTTAAAATAATATGTTATATGTTGAATGGAGTACTGATCCGTTTTCATATTTTCTTTACAGAAAAAATGACGAACGATGATAACACCCCCATTGATCTCGCCACTCAGACTCCACTCAATGCGACAACACCTGTTGCAACCGGCGTGACGAACGCTGTATCAACCGATGCAACCCTTCCAGTGGGTGCTGTTCCTGATGAGACCACACGCCGTAGCCTTTTCGGTGCTGGTCTTTATCAAACGGGTCCAATTCAAGGATCCACAAGTGTTCCGGTTGCAGTTGCGACTCCTCCGGCTATTCCTGGTGTCATTTCTCAGAATATGCTGCCAGACAAATTTGATGGCAAAGGCTTCAAAACGTGGCAGAAGAAGATGCTGTTCTTCCTCAGTTTGTGTAAGTTGGACAAATTCATCGAGGAAGATAAGCCCATTATCCCTCACGGGATTGACGATATGCACGTCTTCTCAAGTGTTGAAAGTTGGGTGCATTCGGATTTCATCTGCAAAGGCTACATTTTGGGTCGTCTCATTGACCCATTGTACCAAGTCTATTGTGAGATTCCAACGGCTAAAGAGCTCTGGAAATCGCTGGACA